GGGGATGGTATTGAGGAGGGCACCTTTTGGGATGGGCACTGGGTGTTGTATGGAAACCAATTTGACAATAAATTTCATATATTTAAAAAAAACAAACAAACAAAAAAAAACCAACGAACCAGGAGTAACGAGTCCCAAACTCTTGACTTGTTACCTCAGAATCACCTATAGCCGTATACAATGAAGATTCCTCAAGCCCTCTCCTGAGATTCCTACTTAGCGGGTGTGGCCCAGGGCCTAGGAGTGAGCACTTTGGCAGCAATTCTCCAGGGGATTCTGCTGCAAATCAGGTTTTATAAAACTCAGATCCACTCTCATAAATAGAGTCAACTGATCTTTGACAAGGGAGCAAAAGCAATACAATGGGGGCAAAGATAGTCTCTTCAACAAATGGTGCTGGAACAACAAGATGTCCACGTGCCAAGAAGTGAATCCTGACACGGTCCTTACGCCATTCACAAAACCAACCTCACGGTGGATCACAAACCTAAATGTAAGGTGCAAACTTACAAAACTCTTAGGAGATAACACTGGGGAAAACCTAGATGAGCTGGGGTGTGGCGGCGACTTTTTGGATATAACACCAAAGATGTGATCTATATAAAAGAAATAATCAATCACCTAGATTTCACTCAAATTGAAAATTGCTGGGGCACCTAGGTGGCTCAGTCGCTTAAGCATCTGACTTTGGTTCAGGTCATGATCTCACAGTTCCTGAGTCTGAGCCCCGCGTTGGGCTCTGTGCTGACAGCTCAGAGCCTGGAGCCTGCTCGCACTCTGTCTGTCTCTCTCACAAAAATAAACAAACATCAAAAAAAATCTCTGCCCTGTAAAAATGAATAGCAAGAGAGTAAGAAAAAGAAGCCACAGACTCGGAGAAAATGTTTGCAAAAGACATGTCTATCTTATAAAGGATAGTTCTCTAAAATATGCAAAGAATTCAGGGTGCCTGGCTGGCTCCATCAGAAGAGCATGTGACTCTTGATCTCGGGGTCATGAGTTTGAGCCCCGATGTTGGGTGTAGAGATTACTTAAATAAAAACTAAATAAATTAAAAAATATATATATACAAAGAATTTTTTTTTGAGAGAGAGAGAAAGAGAGAGTGTAAGCAGGGGAGAGGGGGCAGAGGGAGAGAGAGAAAAGATCTTAAGCGGGCTTCCCGCTCATGGAGCCTGATGCAGGGCTTGATCCCATGACCCGGGGATCATGCCCTGAGCCAAAATCAAGAGTCGGACATTCAAGCAACTGAGCCACCCAGGCGCCCCAAGAGTTCTTAAAATAATAAGAAAACAACCCAATTACAAAATGAGCTAAAGACTTTCATAGGCACCTCACCGAAGAAGATCAACAGATGGCAAAGAAGCCTATGGAAAGACGTCCCACATCATATGTCATCTGGGAAATGCAAATTAAAGCAACAAGATATCACTACACACCTATTAGCATGGCCAAAATCCGGAGCACTGACAACATCAAATGCTGGGGATAGTATGGAGCAACAGGAACTCTCATTCACTGCTGGTGGGAATGCAAAATGGTACAGCCACTTTGGGACACAGTTTGGTGGCTTCGTACAAAACTAAACCTACTCTTCCTATATGATCAGCAATTGTGCTCCTTGGTATTTACCTAAAGGAGTTGAAAATGTACATCAATTTTATAGCAGTTGTACATCAAACGTTTATAGCAGCTTTATTCATAATTGCCAGAATTCAGAAGCAACTAAGACATCCTTCAGCAGGCGAATGGAGAAATCAACCGTGGTGCATCCACACAATGGGATATTATTCAGCATTAAAAAAAAAAAGAGGTATCACTCCATGGAAAGACATGGAGGAAACTTAAATGTGTATTAACTAAGTGAAAGAAGCCAATGTGAAAAGGCTACACGCTGTATGATTCCAACTCTATGACATCCTGGAAAAGGCACAATTATGGAGACAATGAAAAGATCAGCGGCTGCAGGCGTTGTAGAGGGAAAGATGAATAAACAGGCAGAGGACAGGGGATTTTTTTAGGACAATGAAAATACTCTGCATGATATTATAACGATAGGTACATGTCGTAATACATTTGTCCGAACCCACAGAATATACAACACCAAAAGTGAGCCTGAAGGTAAATGGACTTTGAGTGATCAGGATGTATCAGTGCAGGTTCATCAACTGTAACAAACATATATCTCTCTGATGGGGAGGGGAGGGGACGGATGTTGATGATGAGGGAGGTTATGAATTGTGAGGGCAGCGGATATTTGGAAAATCTCTATCTTCCTCTCAACTTGGTTACAAGCCTAAAACTTCTCTACAAAAAAAAAAAAAA